GGTTTCTCACTGAAAATCCTCGTCCCCCGGCGGCACCTTTTTTTGAATTTTCTTTCTTTTCAACGCCGTTTTTTGGGAATTTCGGATTTTTTTGAATTTTTTCGCAATAATATTCGGGAAATAGATAACTTTTAACACATTTTAATGCAATAAAAATTTTTGGTCGGAGTCCCCCTTTAACAATCACCAAATTCTGTGTGTGAGTGTGTCCGTTTGTTCCCGTATCACCTTCCCTAACGAAGTCCAGAATGAACCAAATTTTCCCAAAATTTCACAGATTACCCGAAATAGCCGCGAGATGATGCCCGAGTATTAAATCTTTCGAAATTTTGTGTCTGACGTCTTCTAGAGACGTTCTTCTATTTCTACAGTGCAAATTTTTAGAAAAATATTGAAGAAATATTCACGTCATTTCCGTCTAACCGCCCAAATTTTTTTCTTATCCACGCTATTTCTGAGAGAAAGGTGATTTCTGGAAATATTCTTTTAGTATGGATTTTAAAGATTTGAAAGGAAGAAAAAATTCTGAAACAGTGGAAAGGAAAGAAAATAAAAGGAAAAAAAGAAAAGAAAGAGAATGCGAGGAAAAATTTAAAAAAATCAAAAAAAAAATTAAAAATCCGACTTTCCGAATTCTAGGAATTCTAAATAACCAAAATATCGAATTTCGAAATTTCCTAACAGACCATGAAAAAATAGTCCCTGGAAAAATGACAAAACCTGTCTATAAGACAACGGGTACTGTAAGCGGGAGCTAGGAGGCTCAGCCCGGAGGGGCGCAAACCGACTGTTTCTCAAAATTCGAAAATTTCGAAATTCAGAATTTGCGGAGAACAGAAAGTTTAGTAAACCTGACTTTTAGTTATCAAAAATTTGAAACTTCAGGAAGGTCGCGAAGCGACGAATAGTAAAAAAAGGTTAATTCCAGCTGTTTGAAGCGCAGGAGGCGCGTCAAACAGGCTGGTAGACTTTAAAAAATATTGATTGAGTTCGCGTATTCAATAAATGAGCGTCTAAGCGCTATCTTAGAATATTTTTATAATTCCATCTCTTTTATATTGCAAGAACTTTTTTCAGGATTATTGAAGCAAGTATCAGGCTCAAAGAATTGAACGTGGATAATGCTCGGGAAGTATTTGAGGGAATTTTTGAGAAATTGGATGAACCCAAACAGTTTTTGAAATGCTATTCAAATCTCGAAACGACGGCTTCCGATATGAAGGAGTTGTTGGTGTTACCTGGAAAAGTTTGGAACTTTGATCCGAAGGTGTTGGAGAGTACGGTAGAAGTGGTGGGAGTGTTTAAAGAAGCCTACAAGATGATTGAGGAGATCAAGGAATAGAAGGTGGCAACAAATCCAGAAATTGAGAACTTTCCACTGGATGGAGAGGATGTGAAGGCTGTTTCTGATGGGACCAATGTGTTGGAAACGATTCGAAATGTACAAAATGGATTGGAAATGATGAAGACGTTGGATGTTGAGAATTTAGGAATCAAAGACTCCTGGGACCTTTTGGATTCTTCATTGTCACAGTTTTTTGAGATTCTGTCAAGCCAAAAGATTTGGAATTCATCCAATGTTTCATTTCCAACCAATCTTCCAATAGACACAATCAAAACATTCATCGAAGACGAGTATCAGGAGAATCAGAGAAATGATATTTTGAATTTTCTAAAAGAAATTCAAATATTGAAGACTGATTTTCATGAATACCCAAATAAATTGGAGAAGATGAATGAGGCAATGGAAAAAATGAAAAGATGGGAGGATGAAAAAATGAATCCAGTGAAGACGATGGTTGATTGTTTTGAGGTAAAATGGAAATTCGAGAAAACCAATAATCGGAACTTTTATATTTTCAGATGGAATGTAACGCCTCATTGAAACTTCCCGAAGCTTCCAACTAGTGCTGCGGATTTTTATTATTGAACTTTTTTCAAATAAAGTTTTTGAAAAAAAGATCAATCTATAAATATTAAATTTCTAAAAATTTAATTTCTGGGAATCTTTCAAATCTGGAATTTCTGAAAAATGCCTTAAGGATTTCGGATTTTTTATTCCAAAGTAGAAGCATTTCTATTTTTTAAATCATTTAGTTTTCAAAATTATTTTTAAAATATTAAAGTTACCAGTCGGTTTACGCCCCCTGTCGGGGGCTCAACCTCCTGGCTTCCGCTTTCTGTATCTTTTAATTTCTAATTTCAAAAATTTTGAGTTTCCGAATTCGCCAAAATTTGTGAAAGTTTTGCATACTATCAATTTTCTTCGAGGAATATTTGATTTCCCAAATTTTTTAAAATTTCCAATACTGAAAAAATATTTTTATGTTCTGAAATCCGGAGTATGTGAATTCCCGGTTTTCTGAAGCTTCACATTTTGGATAACTAAATGTCCTGGTTTACTGAAATTTCTGGTCTCCGAAGATGCTGAAATTCGAAATTTTCGAATTTTGAGAAACAGTCGGCTTGCGCCCATCCGGGCTGAGCCTCCTGGCTCCCGCTTACAGGATTTTGTGGTCCACTGCCAGAGACAGTGACACAATTGGTTCGGCGTCGAAGACAAGAGAGAAAACGATGAAGAGTTCAACGAAAGTGAGGAATTAGAAACTGTGAACCTGAATGTTAATAGAAAGAACATTGACTTATTACTAAGTCTTTATTGAATATAAATTATAGAGAAAATGTTAGCGAAAGATGACTTAAGGTCATCTCAAAGGCAAGAGAGAATTAATGTGACATGTTTGTGCAGGTGACTTGAACTTGGCGCTGGAGAAGCGTGTTGTTGGTAGAGTTTACGCACGAGACGCTTCAAACTGGTGACGTTGGCGAGAATTTGAATGCAGGCCGTTGCGGTGTAAGAGATCTGAAGAAACCTGAAAGAACATTAGAGAGGATTTTCCTCATTTGAGATTAAAGACTCGTGGAATATGTGATATTCCACGACACATATTATAGACAGGCTTTGTCTTTTTTACAGGGACTATTTTTTCATGGTCTATTAGGAAATTTCGAATTTCGATATTTCGGTTATTCAGAATTTCCAGAATTCGGAAAGTCAGAAGTAAGGATATCCGGAAATTGGAAAAGTAAGACACTTGGAAGTTCAGAGATTAGTAAATTTTTAAAAACCAGATATAGGAAAACATTAATTTTGAAATCTAGAAAATTGTTTGAATCTGTTTGTCTCAAATATCGAAATTTGGTATATCAGATTTTAAAGAATTGGAAAATTTCGAGATTCGCATACTTACTAAATGCCGGGATGGCCTGAGACGGCCCTGTCCGCAAAATGTATAGAATTTCGAAAAAGTTTAGAAAATCTAGAATTCGAGAACCTGAAAAATTGGAAATTCAGAAATTCAACTTTTCGAAAAACATTCTAGTCGAAAAGTTTTGGAACTTTGAAAAATCGAAAATGTAGATTTCAGAATTCGAAAACTCTAAATGTCAAAAATTTAGACATTCCGAAAATTGAAAACCTGAAATGTTGGAAAATCTGAAAATTTGAAATTTTTTGGCATATTCGGTGAATAAAATCTCAGAAATTTATATATTCCGAAATTTGAAAGAAAGGGCGCTGTTATTTTTCCTCCCATTCTGTTTCTTTCCTTTTTTCCTTTTATTCTCTTTATTTTCCCCTGTTTCAGAATTTTTAGAAACTTCCTTTCAAATCTTTAAAACCCATGCCAACTCAGGTAAACGATTCTGAATTAGATCTGACTTCATTCGGAATTAGATCTGGGTTCGTTCGTAAATAGAAGTGGCATGATCTAATACAGAATTTAGCTGATCTAATTCCGAACGAACACCGAATGAACTACGAACGAATTAGATCTAATTCCGAACAGACCAGCGGGATTTCGGAGCATCGTAGCGCGCGCTTTTCAAATTTTGATTTCTTTTCAACGCCATTCACTTTATTTATAATAAAATTTATTAAAAAAGAAAACAGAACAAGTATGAGAAAAAGAAAAACATTGATTAAAATGTAGAAATAGGAAATCGGAACGAAAATGAGGGGTGTGATACAAATGAATGAATGGGATCAGCAAAAAAGAAAACGATGAGATGCGTCCAAATCTGAGCCCGTATGCTTTTTTGGAGGGGGATTTTCGTCCAACGAGAATATTCATTTTTCAAATTGATGAATCCAGGTTGTGAAGTTTGTTCGAAAGGGTGCATCTTCGTTGTTAACCTCCACAAATTGGTGATTGATTTCAGTTGATCTGAGGTCAGATCGAAATACAAATAAAATGGTAGTCCAAAAATGGAAATTATTAGAGGCGAAAACGGTGGGCATATCTTACTACACGAAAAGAGGAGAATGATCTCCGTTGGGGTGTAGACACTATCAGACCCCACCAACATACTCGTAAAACGACAGCTTCCTCGCTTTTACCCCTTTCAAAAAGACAAAGTTTGAAAACAACAGATCAAAAATGGAAAGGACTTTCCGAACAACCTAATATATACCTCACGTCTTTAACTCAACTTTTTCTTTTTTTTTTCGAATTTCTGATTTTAAATTCAAATGGTTCTTGGGGTAGTTTTTGGAGTTTCCGAAACTGGAAAAACATTATCAACTGTTCAGAAAAAAGAAGGGGAAATTGTCTGCATAAGAATTTTCTAAGGAATTTTTCCTACTTTTAAGGACTAATTTGAAAATTCAAAAAAGGTTTAGTTATGTTATAATTTTCCGCAGTTTCAAATCTTTAAAAAAATAAGGGGAAATTGTTTTTCTGCATAGGCGTTTTATAAGTATGTTTTCCTATTTCTAAGGACTAATTTGAAAATTAAAAAAAATTATTGGGATAGTTTTTCGAATATTCTAAACTGGAAAAACATAACTTTCATAAATATGTAAAAAATATTACGAAATCGATTGAGAGACATATGTTCTGTAAAAATCCAAAAATGTTTTCATAAATTGGGATTCGAAAACATGGAAAGCAAACTTCATGTATTGCCAGAAAAGGGAACTTTTTCGCATAGCTATTCAGAAATTTCTAGGGACTTTTTCCACATTTTGTAAATGTCTTTTCAAGCTCTAAGCATACTTTTTAATGGCTGAAGTAACTTTAAAGGGCTAATTTGACTTTCAGACGGATTTGTTTTTTGTATCCATTAATTTAGGGTTCTAAGCTTACTTTTAAGGACTGAGCCTACTTTTATCACCTCTTCTATTGTTCTAAGGTACCTCCAGAGGACCCTTCTATTACAGGGGACCTTCAATTAGAGAGAGCCCTTCTATTTTTCCGGGCAGTTTTTTTCCGAACTTTTGCTTCGAAAAATTCGACGAAATTTCGTTCAAAATTCATGAAATCTGCCGATTTTAAGATTCTTAAATTTGCAAGATTTCCATCGAAAAATAGAGTTTCAACAAATTTTTATTCAATTGTGGAGTTTCCGAATATTTTCCACCGAAAAAGTACGGAAATTTTCTGATTTCAAAACACATTTTGAAAAGAGGTTTTTTTTCACAGAAGGTCTTTCTATTACAGGAGGCCCTTCTATTAAAGGGGGCCCTCCTATTTTTCCAAGCCCCTCTCGGAGGGCCCTTCTATTAGAGGGACCCTTCTATTAAAGAGACCCTTCTGCTATGACAGCATACCAAACCTTAATCAAGTTATCATTGATGCCTGGCTACTGGTCGCGCCGTTTCTAGTTCTCTTGAAGTATTTTTTCCAGATTCTCGAACGCTGGACATGGAATGAGAACTGTATTTCGTTGATTGGAATGGGATTACACCCGGAATCAATCGTCCGTTAACAGTTGATCCGTCCGAATGATTAATTTTACGAAATATGAAGGATTTTAACGATTTGGCAATGATAAACAAGGAAGATAAAACTTTCATTCTTGTATTTTTTTTGATTAATCGCTGGATAAAAGTTTCGGGTTAATCAGCTGGAACGGCAAACACGACAGTTTTTAGATAACAGAGAACATAAATAGACCAAAAAGACGCTTTACAAATTTTCAAAAAATTGGTTTCAGAAGACAAAACAAATATTATAGAATATAAGAAGGAGCGATTTTCAAAATTTTCGATTTTCAAAAATCCCAAATCACTTCGATTTCCAAAATTTCTGTGAAGTTTCAGTAAAATCACGTGAATTTCCAAAATCCCAGAACTCGAACCGTTCGAGTTCTGTGAAAAATCCCAGAAATTGCAACGTTCAATTTCTATGAATCACGTAAAATTTCCAAATTCCCAGAAATTTTGGAAATCGAAGTGATTTGGGATGAAAATTGAAAATTTTGAAAATCGCTCCTTCTTATATGTTAAAAAAAATCAGATATAGTTTAAAAACATTCACACCTCTCTTAAGAAGCGAATTGTCAGAACAGGTGATTTTTCTCTCAAATCTGATTTCCTACAGAATATGAAAATTTTCACCTATTTCAGAATCACGTGTGTGACAGGAATCATAAAAAAAAGTCCCACTTTTACTTCAGTCAGTGCCAAACTCATGACTTTGCAAATAGATTTTTCTGAACCCCGATGGCTTATAATCTTTTACGATGTTATCGGAATTATTTCTCTATGCCTGAATTCTTTTGGGATTTATCTTCTAATTTTTCAGTGCAAAAAACTGGGAAAATTCCGTCACTATCTATTAGGATTTCAAATTGTTTGCACTTTGCTTGATATTCAATTTAACTTTCTCACTAAACCAATACTTTTGAATCCACTACTGGCATTTATTTCAGTTGGAGCTTTATCAACTTATTTCGATATTCCCACCCATTACTGTGTGGTAGGGTTTAAAAAATTCAATATTTCATAAAAATCATACATTTCAGATTGTTTGTGCTTTCCTTGCCCTTGTACAGTTAGAATTCCTTGTGTTGTGCTTTCAGAAGAAGCATCAATCGATTTCTGAAACACTGAAGTATCACATGCTCCCCGGTCCATTAAGATACTTTGGCTATACATTATGTTTTATTGCTCCAAGCACTCTCTGTGCAATAATACAATCCTTCCACATTTCGGAAAAAGAGCAATTCGATTATATAGTGAGTGTACGTTTGAATAAGAATAATGGCATAGTCTAAAATTTTTCTTCAGACTTATCCAGAATTGTTATCTGGATTTATGAGGTTATCTCATTTTGTGCTTTACATAAAACCGCCATATATGAATTGGATTTTTGCATTTTTAATGTTAGGAGCAGCCACACTAACAACTATGTTTTTATTATTCATTACTGACATTCTTCGGATGATGTCTTTAGTGAAACTCAGATTATCCTCAGTTACTTATCAAAAGCACCAAGAAGCCGTCCAAAGCTTGGTGGTTCAACTCATCACATCCACATGCTGCTTATGTCCTCCATGTCTTTTAGTGGCAACTGTATATCTGGAAGTTGACAATGGGCAAAAAGTATCCAATATTTTGATTGCCTGGTTCACCAGCCATACCTCAGTAAATATGATGTCTCTATGTTTTTTCTTCCCACCATACCGGAAGTTTTTTGTACAGCAAACTGGTAAGTGAGTTTCGAATTTGATAAAGCCTGATTTCCACCCAAATTTAATCTCAAAATATGCACAAAGTTCCAGAAACCGAAGACGAATTGCTGCCACAGCATCTTCAGTAATCTTTTAAAAACGATGTCGAATGTTGAAATTAAGTAAAAAGTTTGAATTCTGCCTGATCCCTTACTCCAGATGAATATTGATTTTTCTGAACCCCGTTGGCTTATTATCTATTACAATGTGATTGGATTCATTTCTTTCTGTGTTAATTCTCTTGGCATTTATCTTCTGATGTTCCACTTCAAAGTACTAGAGAAACTCCGTCACTATCTATTAGGATTTCAAATTGTTTGCACTTTATTTGATATTCAAATAAACTTTTTAACCAAAACTGTTCCCTGAAAGAAATGAATCCAATCACATTGTAATAGATAAAGTTGAAGTATATTTTGGAACTAAATGCAAGCCCATGAGTTTCTATTTTCAGATAGAAGGAAACATTTCTCATCAAATTCTCACCGCTGGATAAAAGTTTCGGGTTAATCAGCTGGAACGGCAAACACGACAGTTTTTAGATAACAGAGAACATAAATAGACCAAAAAGACGCTTTACAAATTTTCAAAAAATTGGTTTCAGAAGACAAAACAAATATTATAGAATATGTTAAAAAAATCTGATATAGTTTAAAAACATTCACACCTCTCTTAAGAAGCGAATTGTCAGAACAGGTGATTTTTCTCTCAAATCTGATTTCCTACAGAATATGAAAATTTTCACCTATTTCAGAATCACGTGTGTGACAGGAATCACAAAAAGAGAAACTCATTTTTGTTGTAGTCAGTGTAAAACAGATGAATCTGGATATAGATTTCTCTGAGCCCCACTGGCTTATAATCTATTACGATGTCATTGGAATTATTTCTTTTTTTCTTAACACTCTTGGCACAGCTATTTTTCGGTGGGAGCTCTATCTACCTATTTTGATGTTCCTACCCATTTTTGTATTGTAGGTTAATAACAATTGGATAGCTTGATATGAAAAAACATTCCAGATGGTTTGTGGTTTTCTTATCGTTACACTGAAAGAAGTACTCGTGTTATGCTTCCAGAAGAAGCATCAATATATTTCTGAAACATTAAAATATCACATGCTTCCTGGTCCATTTCGATATTTTTCATATTCACTATGTTTTGTTGGTCTTGTAAGTCTATGCGCAATTTTTTAATATTTCTATACTTCCCAAGAGAAACAACTGAAATATATAGAAATGGTATGATTTCGAGTGGGTACACTAACAAGTCTATTTGTATTTTTCATCATTGACATTCTTCGAATGATGTCTCTCTTGAAACTCAGATTATCTACAGTAACTTATCAAAAACATCATGAAGCCATTCACAGTTTACTGGTTCAATTTATAACATCAACTTTCTGTTTATGTCCTCCATGTATTCAATTGTGTATTTGGATGTTCCAAATGGTCAAAGTATTTTCAAGTTTTTGATTGCCTGGTTCACCAGTCATTCCTCTGTGATTATGATTTCTCTATGTTTATTCTTCCCACCTTACCGGAAGTTTTTTGTGGAGAAAACTGATAAGTGAGTTCTGAATTTGATAAAGCTACCGTATTTCCTCTAATAGAAGCCCACCTCTATTTGAAGCCCACCCTCTGACGTGCTTAAAAACATAGAAGCGCATCCTCTAACAGAAATACGGGCACTCTAGTTAGTTCAGTTTGAACAGTCCAGATCGTCTATTCGGTTATTGTGGACATTTCCTTCCTGTTTCAAAAAATTTCTGTTAATTTCAGTTTTTGGTAGTTTCCTGAGAAGGAGGTTGAAAAATAGAAGCCCATGGGCTTCAATTAGAGGAAATACGGTATATTTCCGCCTGATTTTAATACCAAAGTGGACACAAATTTTTCCAGAAACTGAAGAAGAATTGGCATCACTGCATCTTCAGCGTTATTTTGAAAAATGTTTCCAATATTGCAAAAAATATTGAAATCGGATCACAGATTTCGAAAGTCAAAATTCTCGATAATTCTTTGAATCTTCAGTTCAGCAAATTATTAAGTTTTTTCGGAAAGGTTTTGTTATTTTTGATTTGTTGTTTTAAAACGTTTTTTTTCCAAAATCTGGTTTATTGCCTTTGTACAGGTGATTCTCGACCAAGAGCGTCATCAAATGCCATAAAATCTTATAAAATGCTATAAATCAGAAAACATTTGCCTTCAAGAAACTACCTCGTTATTTTAGTTTTCTTGACTAGCGAATATGTCTTTCAAATAAACCTCACCTGAATGTCAGAATTCTTCTTGTGACGAAATCACAAAAAGAGCAACTCAATTTTGTTTCAGTCATTTTAGAAGTGGTTTGAAAATAAAAAAAACAGCAAACCTAAGATCAAGTCGATAAACTCCAAAGCCTGGTTTTTATCGATGAACATCGTCTGAAAACAGGTGAATTCTTCTTTTTTATAACGGATCTCACTGTTGAGAGCTTAAAATCTCACCTATTTCAGAATCACGTGTGTGACAAAAATCACAAAAAGAGAAACTCATTTTTGTTGTAGTCAGTGTGATTTGGCAATGATAAACAAGGAAGATAAAACTTTCATTCTTCTATATTTTTTTTTTTTGATTAATTGTCGACGAAATAACTATCGTCGATACAGTAAGCAGAAGAAGAAGAAAAGGAATCAATGATCAGAAAGATGTGCAAAAGGGTTTATGGGCGGCAATAACCCGAGGGCTTTTATGGGCGATCAACGGGAGATCGTAAAATATCATGAATATAAACACCATTTTCGCTGTATTGTATATCATTCATTTTTATCTTATTTTTCTTTAGTTTCTTATGAATAAAGGTTTAATTACCCAAGTTTGAGGCTCGACGAGAAAAGATCGAATTTGATATGGTGACCCAGGCACCCCAAGGGAGTGGGAGGATCCGCAGTCAAATTGGGATCTCGAAGAGACGTGTTGAGGATTGCCTGGATGAGGAGGTACAGGAACAGAGCGACATTGAAGGATTCAACGTTGATGATCTTCAACAATTCCTCGAAGATTTGCATGAAGACTTGCAAAAACTGCAAAAGCGCTGTCAGACTTTGGCAGATTTGGATCGGAAATGGAAGAATTTGATGGATGAGGATCTCTCAGGAGAAGAGAGAAAGATCCAGGAACAATATGTTGTTCAATATGGAAACTATTTGGAGACACTTGAACGTGGAAAGATCAGGATTCAGGTTCTGAAGGACTTATATGTCATTGGTCTCAATCGGATAAGATTATTGGATGAGAACAGATTGATTCTGTTGCCAACGTTGGGCGAACTATCCAAGGAAGGAGCTCAACAAGACGAACAAAAGGTGATTTCGAAAAATCCACCTGGGGAAATTCAAACGGCTGAACAGTTCATGGACAAGAGAACGGATGACAAATTGGGGGCAGTGCAAGCGGTTGCAGCTCCTCCGTCTAATCAACCCATTCTGGTGAATACATTCGGGCACATTACTTTGCCACAAATGACTCTACCAACGTTTACGGGAAACGTAATGGCATGGTATGAGTTCAAGGAATCATTTGAGTCGATAATGAACAGCATCAAAGTGGACGAGCTCACTAAGCTGCATTATTTGAAATCGGTCGTCAGTGGAGAAGCAGGAGAGTTGGTCAAGTATCTGCAAACAACTCACAAAAACTTTGAAATTGCTATGACAATGCTGGAAGAACAATATGGAGGGAAAGAACGGATTCAACATGTATTGCTACAACAATTGAGAGAGATTCCTGATGTTACATCAAGCAATACGGACGCTGCTACTCTACAATTGTTCATCACAAAGGCTACTTCCATTTTCA